ACTAGTCCTGGGAGAAGGGGTCAAGACCTCGGGGGGTCGACACTGCTAAGAAATCACGACGCCGGGGGTCTGGGCCAGCGGGGAAGGCCCTGGCGCTGCAGTCTCCTCAGAACGGGCGCTTTCGCTCGGCTTCGGGCCCCGGGGCCCTCACAGATCGGCTCCCCACGGCCTCCCAGGGGCTCCCAGGCTCGCCCTCGCTCGGACGCCCATCCCCGTGCACTGTTCGGCTTCGCGCGTGTCCTTTTTCGCAAGACGACCAAAAATACTCGAGAGTCCTCGCCGAGAAGACGTGCTCACGTTCGAGCGATGCCAGGCCAGGGCTCTCCGGGGAGGTCCCGAGCCGATCCCAGATATCCGCGCGGCCCTCCGGAAGTCTGCCAGGAAGCTGGCCGCACATTGAGCCAGGACCGACCGTCCGGGCATTCCTACAGTCCTACCACGACATGTTCTTAGAACTAAGACATGTTCGAATAACAAGAACACTATTCTTAGAACATTAACCCGGGGTGTTAAAACAAGACAGTCTCAACCAGAACTGTTGCAATAACATTTCGTGCAAAGCACAAGAGGTTCTCATAACATTCTTTGATACAACCACAGGCACGCCAGGACGCTTCGCCACTGCTCGTGGCTGGACTCGAGAATGTGTGGCCCACCTGGAGGCCTCGCGCTGGATGCACAGGTGGGCGCCTGAGGCGTGCCCGGCCAGAGAGGGGACGAGCGCCGGGAGGCCGAAGCCACCAAAGCACACACGCGCGCGCCCAGGCCGGCCGCGCCACGCGCACCCAGCTTCCCGGCACGCTCCCTGCCCCCGCTTCTGCTCCGACGTGCGGAGCGTCGGCTCACAAGGGCTCGCGTTAGGTCGGGCATGCCCCCCTACAGGGGGATTTCGGGCGAAAAATGAGACATACCCCAACAATCATCGAACAATGCCCCAAAATACTAAAAAACACCGCCCCCCGACACTGTTCTTCTTGGACCACCTTGGAGTATACCCCCCCTGTGGAGAGGGACGTGCCCGACTTCAGGCTCGCGTCGGCTGAACTTCCGCCGGCCCCGGCCCCGGGCCAGGCGGGCGCGGGGCCCGAGCTGCCTGCGCGCGCTCCCCGCCTGGCCCCGGAGGGTGTCCACGCTCGGGTGTTCTTTGACCCTCAAAAGTTGAGTCGGGCACGTCCTCCTGTATCCCGAAAATGCTGGACAAATCATCCCTAGACAATTTTTTGGCTATTTTTGAATATTCCCCCTGTAGAGGGACAGGCACGACTTAACTCTAAGGGGGGAGGGGGGGGCGGGGGGCAAAACGGTCGGGAACTGCTGCTCAGCGTGTCGGGGCGGTGGCCCCGGCGGCACGCCATGCCCTGCGAGGGGATAGCGCGTCGCTCCGCTCCGCGGGAGGCTGGGAGCAGCTCGGGACGCCGACGCTCGGGGACGTGGAGTGGATAGCGCGTCGCGCCCACGCGCGGTGTGCCAGAACCGGCGGAGCGACACTCTGAGCCAAAGTTCCCGACCGTAAGCGTGGGGTGAAGAGGCCTGCGTCCTTCGTGAACCTCTTGGGCATGCGGCGGCAGTATGGGGAGACGTTTCTGGCCCCTTTGGGGCCGCTTTCCTGCCGTCCTCGCTCCCCCAACGCTTGTGGCCCCCCCCCCCCCCCGGTTTGCCGTCCAACGAAGGCCTGCTTGTGCGCCTCCGGGGCGTGCCGGCCGTGCTTCTGGCGGCCGCCGTGGCGGCCCTTCTGCTGGTGGTTCCCCTGGTCGGATGCTGCTGGACGTGGCCCTGGCCCAAGGTGTCCCCCCACCCTTCGAGCCATCTGGGGCCTCTGGGGCCCTCTGGGCCTCGTGCAGAGTGCTCTGGACCAAGACCCCGATGTCGTGATTTTTGTCACAACATCGACCCCCAGAGGTCTGGACCCCTTCACCGGGACCGGTTTTTCATCCTGAGTCGTTGTTTGACGGTCCCCCGGAGGCCGAAAATAGCGGAAAACCTCCCGTCGTGATTTTTTCACAGCGCGAGGAGGTCTGGGGAGGCTATCTGGGCCTGCCGGGGGATCCTGGGGGCGCCTGGGCCCAGGGACACTTCTGGCAACACCCGGCCTTGCTGTCGAAGCTGAGCGCGCAGGCGGTGCAGAGGGCCCCCAGCAGGAGCAGGAGCCCAGCGGGGCGGCGAAGATACGAAGCCGCTGGCATGAATCGCTCGGTATCTTCCTCTTTACATATATGTACTGTAGCTGAAAGGCGGCTGCATTCGCGGAGGCCCACGAACGCACCTTCAGCCAAGACGGCACAGGCCGAACCAGATGCGGGGAGGAGGCGGATAGAGCCTGGACGTGGAGTCTTCCATAATTGAAGCCAGAACATGTTTGTACAACTTGCTCTCAAATACTAGTTGCACTCTGATCGCCGCCAGGGGTCCAAGGTTCAACGGGACGCCGCCGCAAGGATGGACCCCCGCGGAAGGAAGGAAAGCAATCCTGACGGGGGGTGGGGGTCCAGGCACGAGTCGCAGAGGTCATGAGACGACGACGACGACGACGACGGACGACCGACGAGGAGGAAGGGCAGTGAGGAGGAGGAGGTGGAGGAGGGGGAGGAGGAGAAGGAGGGGGGAGGGAGGAGGAGAAGGGAGGAGAGAGGAGGAGGAGGAGGGGAGGAGGAGGAGGAGGAGGAGGAGGAGGAGGAGGAGGAGGAGGAGAAGGAGGAGGAGGAGAAGGAGGAGAGGGAGGAGGAGAGAGGACGAGCATGACAAAGATGGCGAGCTTTTGCTGACGCCCCTTCCGCCGCGCGAGCCCCCTCCCCTGGCGGGCCGGTGCGGCTCAGCAGGGCCCGCAGGCGCGCGTTCTCGCTGGCCAGGGCCTCGGCGAGGGCCTGAGGACCGCCGTCGTCGATGTCGCCGTCGTCGACGCCGTCCTCGACGGCGTCGTCGCCGACGGCGTCGCAGACGGGGCCTCGACAGCGACGGCGCCGCCGACGGGGGAGCTGAGGATCGTCGTTGGCGGCGGCGGCGACGGAGGGGAGGAGGAGGAGGAGGAGGAGGAGGAGGAAGGAGGAGGAGGAGGAGGGAGGAGGAGGACGAGGAGGAGAGGAGGAGAAGGAGGAGGGGAGGAGGCGGAGCAGGAGCAGGAGGAGGAGGAGGAGGTGGAGGAGGAGGAGGAGGAGGAGGAGGAGAAGGAGGAGGAGGAGGAGGAAGAAAAGGAGGAGGAGCAGAAGGAAAGGAGGACGGGAGGGGGAAGGAAGGGGAAGGAAAGAGGAAGGAGGAAGGAAAAAGGGATGATGGAAGGATGAGGAGGAAAGAGTAAGGGAGGAGGAGGAGGAGAAAGAGGACGACGACGACGAACGAGCGAGGACGGCAAAGGCGGCTGCCCCCAAGGCGACAGCCTGGGGGGAGCCCAGAGAATCGAAAACCCGAATTCGGAAGTCGAACTTTCTCGTTCTCCTCCTCCAGCTCCTCCTCCTCCTCCTCTTCCTCCGCTTCCCCTCCCTCCTCCTCCTCCACCTTTCTCAATGTACACAGAACTCCCCCTGTCGTTTTGCCCGAGATTGCCTCACCGCTAGTGATCCTGAAGCTTGACACCTGCAACGACTTCACGGATGGAGGCGGCCGGTTTTCAAAATGTGGCTCTCGCCTGAGAGCCGCGCGCATTCGTCTTAAAAATTTGCAGCGGCCTTCAAGGATTGGGGGCGGCCCGTTTTCAAAATGTGGCTATCGCCGTAGCGCACAGCACATGTGTCTCACAGTTACTAGCTATTCCAAAGACGGATTGCGGCTCCTCTTAAAATGTGTCTCTCGCCCTAGCTCCGCGCACATGTATTACAAGCTTGCAGCAACGTCGAGGGTTCGTATGGTTGAAGACCCAGGAGTAGTGCTCTGGTGCGACTTAGGATTGTCAGGACGCCAAAAAAGTCTCATTGGCTCGCGGCCTTGAAGTCTCAGGAGTCCTGGTCTGTTACGATTTAGGATTGTCAGGGCACAACGGTCACGCTGATTAGCGGCGTTGAAGTCCCAAATAATGATGTTTGGACACAACTGGGGATTCTGAAGTTCTTCCGACGGGGCACTTCCCGCAATGAAGATGACTTCTTGTACGAACATATGAAGAGGGGACTTGGAGAGAGGCTTTATTCCAAAATCGTTGATGCGTCTTGAGTTTACACTGGTCCTCCTCCTCCTCCTCCTCCTCCTCCTCCTCTTCCTCCTCCTCCTCCTCCTCATCCTCCTCCTCCCCCTCTTTCTCCTCCTCCTCGTCATCATCATCATCATCATCATCATCATCATCATCATCATCATCATCACAAGCAGCATCAGCATCAGCATCAGCAGCACCAACATCATCATCACCATCATCACCATCATCATCATCATCGTCATCACCATCACCATCACCATCACCATCACCATCATCATCATCATCAGCAGCAGCTTCAGCATCATCTTCATCATCATCATCCTCATCCTCATCCTCATCCTCATCCTCCTCATCCTCCTCATCCATCCTCATCCATCATCCATCCATCATCATCATCACCATCATCACATCATCCATCACCATCATCATCACCATCAGCATCAGCATCAGCATCAGCATCAGCATCAGCATCAGCATCAGCATCAGCATCAGCATCAGCATCAGCATCAGCATCAGCATCATCATCATCATCATCATCATCATCATCAGCATCAGCATCAGCATCAGCATCAGCATCAGCATCAGCATCAGCATCAGCAGCATCAGCATCAGCATCAGCATCATCATCATCATCATCATCATCATCATCATCATCATCATCATCATCATCATCATCATCATCATCATCATCATCATCATCATCATCATCATCATCATCATCATCATCATCATCATCATCATCATCATCATCATCATCATCATCTCTCCCCCATCCTTCTTCCCCTCCTCTTCCCCTTTCTCCTCATCCTCCTCCTACTCTTCCTCCTCTTTATCTTCCTCCTGCTCCCCCTACTCCCCCCTTCCAGCGCCCCCCGATGGCCGCGCTCTGGGCGTCGTCGGCCGCGTCCGCCGCCCGGTGCATCAGGGCAATCAACTCGAGGTTCCTTCTTTTCTCGGTGGGTGGGGGGGCGACTCTCTTTCTTTCGTCGGTCCTCCTCTTCCTCGTCCTCCTACTCCTCTTCCTCCCTCGTCATCCTCCTCTTCCCTCCTCGTCCTCCTCTTCCTCCGTCCTCCGTCCTCCGTCCTCCTCCTCCTCCTCCTGCTCCTGCTCCTCCTCCGCCTCCTCCTTTTCCTCATCCTCCTTTGTTGCGCTGGTGGACTTAGGCAACGAAGCTGAAGCGTTAGTCCCCTCCTCCTCCCTTCCTCCTCCTCCGTTGCCTTTTCCTCCTCCTCCCTCCTCCCTTATTCCTCCTCCTCCTCCTCCTCCTCCTCCTCCTCCTCCTCCTCCTCCTCCCTTATTCATCCTCCTCCTCCTCCTCCTCCTCCTCCTCCTCCTCCTCCTCCTCTGCGATGCGTCCCAGCCTCGCGCCCGCCCGCCCGCGAAGGCGTCGGGAAGCGGCCAGCCAAGGCTTGTGCTCACTTCGGTCTAAGTTAGGTCTGCGGCTCGCAGACCAGAGGAGGTTGAACTTACCAGTGCCAGGGTCACGTGAAGGTACCGATGCCGCTGCTCCCCGGACCTCTCCAGGCGTGCGCTCTCACCAGAACTTCGAAGCGAATCCAGCCTTGGCGAGGAGGGAAAGTATGTGCTCCGCTTCTGCACGATTGCTACAGAAACACTGCATAAACATACTTCGCGGAGGACGGAAATCTGCGAGGACCTCCTCCTCCTCCTCCTCCTCCTCCTCCCCCTCCTCCTCCCCCTCCCCCTCGGAGGTCCCAAGGTCGGCGCAGATTTTTTGGATCGGCGCTGGGCCCTCCCTCCTTGCCAACACGCGAAGCGCGCCAGGGGCGGCGCCAGAAGCGCCGCCAAGGGGGGTCCAGCGCCGATCCGACAAACTCTGCGCGGGGCCCGGCGCCGATCCAATTCATCTCCGCGCGGGGATCCGCAGGCTGGTGTCTCTGCAGCGTTCTGTCCCTCGATGCACAAGGGATGGTTCAAGACTGGCGCCCGCGATCCTCGCCCGCAAGCGCCCGTTCTCTTCCCGCAGCCGCGCGTGGGCGCCCCGCTCCTCGCGGGATCCACCACAGGGGGGGCGACCCCGAGGGGGGGGGACGAGTTCGATCCGCCGGTGGTGCCCCCCGCGCGCCCCGATTGTCGACGCCTCTCGGGCTCCGGCGGCGGCCAGGGGCCTCGTTTTGCTTCGCTCCTGGGCGTCTCGATGCACCAACGGACCGACCTCACCCCCCCCTCGGTGGCCCCCCCCCCCCTGGGCGAGGGCGCCCCGCTCCTCCTCCAGCAGGCCCAGGAGGCGGCGCACCTGCGCCCGGGCCTCGTCGGCCCGGGAGCTCTCGGAGCGGAGGCGCTGGACCTGCCCAGGGGAGGGGGAGGGGGAGGGGGAGGAGGAGGAGGAGGAGGAGGAGGAGGAGGAGGAGGAGGAGGAGGAGGAGGAGGAGGAGGAGGAGGAGGAGGGAGGAGGAGGAGGCGGAGGAGGAGGAGGAGGAGGAGGAGGAGGAGGAAGGAGGAGGAGGAGGAGGAGGAGGAGGAGGAGGAGGAGGAGGAGGAGGAAGAGGGGGAGGAGGAGGAGGGTGAGGTGTAAGAGGAGGAGGAAGAGGGGGAGGAGGAGGAGGAGGAGGAGGAGGAGGAGGAGGAGGAGGAGGAGGAGGAATAATAGAGGGACGAGGAGGAATACATAAGGAGGAGGAGGAGGAAGAGGAGGAGGAGGAGGAAGAGGAGAAGGAGAAGGAGGAGGACGAGGGGGAGGAGGAGGAGGATGAGGTGTAAGAGGAGGAGGAGGAGGAGGAGGAGGAGGAGGAGGAGGGCACGAAGCTCGGCGAGCAGGTCGATCTGCAGCCTCGCCTATGCTTGCATGCGGTGCAAAGCGGCCAGTCTCACACCAGATCGATGGGCCGCTCCGGCATCCAGGCCCACGTCCACGCGGTGCTTCTGGATGTGGTAGCACTGGCACATGAGGCCGACCGAGTAGATGCAGTCCTTGATCGGTCTCCTTGCGTGGTACTGTTCGTCGCCGAACCCGAGGAACTCGATGCCGTGGCCCAGGGAGTCGGCGTCAGCGTCGCCCGCGGTCAACGCCCTGAGGATGGGGCAGACGACGTAGTGCTCGAGCGCGTCCACCTCGTCGCAGCCGAACAGGCATGGTCGCGCATCGATGACGGCGCTCATGCGGCGAGATGTCGTCCAGCCGTTGACCGCGGTGCGGATCCACGACCACATCCATGCAGGGCGGACCTCCGTCAGCTTGTCACGCAGCGGAGGCCACCTCTCGCGCAGCTCGGGCAGCGAGCACACGACTCCCCACCTGCGTAGCCGACGGTGGATGGTGGCCACCAGGTCCTCGGGGTACAGCGAGCCTCGGAGCGAGATGGCGGCCGTGGCCTGGCGCTTGGGCTTCCTGGTGGGAATGGCCGCTGCCGCCGCCGTCGTCTCCAGGGTCATCGCCGCCTTCGCGATCTTGATGTACCTGCTCGGAATCGGGACCGAGAGCACATCGAGCGTCGGTCTGGGGATGTCCAGCTGGCCGTAGGTGTCCGTGATCATGGCGAAGTTCTGTACGATCGCCCTCCGCGTCTGCCACCACGGAGGCGACCAGTTGCCCTTGATCACGTCGATCAGTGGGGCATGCTCCACGGCAGCTTCATGAAGGTGGTGAAGGTGAACTTCCCATCCACGAACCGTGTTCTCCGCCGTGCGCATCATCGCCGCGAGCGTGTACGGGAAGAGGCCCGTCGGCGACGGGGAGCCGCACCACGCGCTCATCGACAGGATGTCGGCCTTGCGCATGGACGAGGGCGGCAGCCGCAGCAGGCGGTGCAGGGAGGTGAACTCGACCTTCCAGATGGCAGGCACAATGAAGTAGAACTGCGCGAGGTACGACAGGCACGGTAGCGCGTTGATGTTGTACGCGCGTGCCGCAAGGCTGGTGGCCATGCCAGTGCGCGCCAGCTCCCAGCATCGGGTCCACCATTTCCCCGCAGCAGCCTTCCAGATGCCGAAGTCCGTGACGCCTGGCCCCAGGTGAGTCCCCAGGTACTTGGCCGTGGAGTCGACGCGGAAGCCCGACCAGCGGGGGACCTCCTTAGCGAGGAAAGCCTTGACGATCTGCAGTGTGTCCTCCGAGAGCTCCTCCCACAGCGGCACCAGCACGCACTTGTGCAGCGCCAGCTGCAGGTTGAAGGCAAACTCAATGGAGACGAAGGTGGAGTCGATGCTGGGGAGGGCGACCGCGTTCTTGATCAGCATCCCGAGGTCGTCGGCGCAAGCCGTGAGGAACCCATGCTCAGCAATCGCAACCAGCAGCGCGCGGATGGGCGTGTCCATAGCCAAGCACCAGACCGTGCCAGAGAGCGGGCATCCTTGCATGATGCCGCACAGGAGCGCGAACAGCGGCTCGAACTCCGCGCTGGTGCCCTCGGCGCGGAAGGAGCTGAAGGCGAGGCAGTTGCTGTAGAGCGCCGCGACCGCGTTGCAGAAGCCCAGCGGGACCCCGTAGCGCGGGAGGACCTTCTCGATGACTTCCCTGAAGAGTGAGGGGAAGGCCTGACGGAAGTCGAACGACAGGAACATGGGGCGGCGGGTCGCCGCGTCAGGAAGAAGGCCCTCCCGACGGCATTCCGCGTCCAGGTACGGGATGTGGTCGACGAAGCGCCGCCCAGCAGTGAAGCCCTTCTGCTCGGGTGAGGTAGATGATGTGGCGATGGGCTGGAGCCCGCGATCTGCGCAGGCCGCAATCAGCTTGGCGTCGCAGTTCTTCAGGGAGAGGGTGCGCACCGTGGAGGCCGTGCGCGTGCAGGAGCCGGGGACGTCGTCCTCCTCCGTGCCCTTTGGCACGCAGATGAAGATCGACCAGTTGAGGTCGAGCGGGGCCACGCCGTCGTTGAAGAGGGCTTCCATGAGACCCTGGAGATGCTGCAAGGCTCCAGGGCTGCGGCGCCACGCTGCGTACGACAGCTGATCTGGTCCCGCAGCGCTCGGGGGGCCCTTCTGGCCGCACGTTCTAAGTCATGTAGAGCTGGTTGAGGGAGTTCAACCTCGGGCTTCCTTGGCGCGTGCTTGTCCAGGAAAGCGCCCAAGGCCTTGAGCTGTTCAGAGTTCGGCACCTTCGCGAAGATCTCACCCCAGTAGTTCGCTACGGTCGCCTTCATGCCCGCGGGATCGGAGACCACGTGCTGAGCCACCTTCGAGTCCTTGGCGGCACACGGTGCGGAGTCCACGCGCAGGCCCGAAAGGATCATACGTCGCCGCCACGGGACCCAGAGCTGCGCATGCCTGGCGGCCTTGCGCTCAACCCTCCGCCAGGCTGCGCTGTCGCGCACGTTGGCCGTTCGAGCTGCTGCCTCCGCCGCCTGCCTGCGCAGGGAGTGCACCCGCTCGGCGATGGCGTCGAAGTTGGCGGCGAAGCTGTGGGGGTCCACGAGGCGCACCGTGCCGTCGGTAACGTGGAGGTGGGCGGCCAGCACAGGGCAGGACTCGAGCAGCCTGTCTGCCAGGACAGCGTCCTGTCGCCAGACCGCTCTCGCCGCCGACTTGAAGCCCATGTGCGAGGTCTCGACCGTGGAGTCCTTGACGTGTAGGGAGAAGTTGGTCCGCAGCTGGTGATCACGAACACGTCGCGCTGCAAGTTTCATGCACTGCTTCGCTGCTCTCCAGCGGCCTTCCGCCGTTTCCCCAGCCAAGGAGCAGTGGTCCAGCATGGGCGTGTAGGTCTCAGGGTACTTCCTATGGTTGAAGAGGTGCGTCGGGATAGGCTGCTCGTCTCGTGGGACATGGCGTGCGGCGGTGATCTGCAGGACGAGGGGCGCGTGGTCGCTGATGCCCTCCTCGGAAAGCTCCATCGCGTCCCTCGCAGTGGTGAGGATCGTCGAGACCGAGAGCATGGCGCGCGCGTCGATGCCCGATAAAATGCGGTCGATCGTGGACAGCTGCTTGCTGGACTTGTCGTAGTGGGTCGGCCACTGAGACTCCACCTCCAGAGCTGCAGCGAATAGACGGCGCCACGCAGGTTGCCGAAGTTGGTAACAGTGATCAGGTCGGAGGCGCCAAGCTGTGGTGTCTGTGGGTGCTCGTTGACTGACTGGCGGGCGGGCAGCTATGTTGAAGTCACCGACGCCCAGGAAGATGCGGTGTAACGAGTCGCAGCGCGCCCACGCCAGGCCACTGGACCAGGTGCGCTGGACTGCGGTGAACTCGTGTGGCTTGAGGTCGTAATTGTGGATGTTGAAAATCTGCATGCTGTACTTGCCCGTGCAGTCGGTGATCGTGAGGAGCGCCGCGCGGCCGTCCGCCACTATGTCGAAGCGGTAGGCCGGTAGTGCAGAAGTGGAGTTACGTGTACTTGACCAGGTGTTGTTCGGTTGTGACGTGGATGTCGTGGGAGAGCGTCGTGTACTTGACCAGGTGTCGGAGCAACTTGCTGTCGTAGGTGAGGAAGAGGTTCGCGTACTTGTCCAGGTGTCTTGAGTCGGTATAGAAGAAGTTGGGGGCGAGGAACGCACAGGAGGTCTTCCACTTCTCGCTTCGCTCCCGTCTCCCAGAGATTCGGCTCTGGGTCCATCCACCCCTGGAACTTCGTCGGCGTATCGAGGGACGAGAAAGGCGACTCCGCCCACGGCGGCGGAAGAGCCAGGCGAGAGGAAGCTCAAGTACTTCTGCGGCTGCGACTGGAGAAAAATCCTGAGGGCGTCCTCAGATCCGTGGACCTCCTGAACGGCGATGATGGCGTTGACCTTCATGTAGGTGGCGAGCAGTGCCAACTTGCGTCTGCGCAGCCTCGCGTCCGAGTGGAGGAGGCCACGGGCATTCCACACGACCAGGTGAAGTCCACGAAAGCCATGCCGTGCGCCAGGGGGACGCCACGGCGCCCACAGTGGGCTGCTAAATCCACTCGGTGTTGTCCTCCGTGGAGAAGGCCTTCTTGAACTGCGTGTTGATGGACTCCCTGTCGATGTGCAGCCTGGCGACCATGTCTGGGTTCCACCTGATGATGGTGTCGGTGTTGCGGGATTCACCCATCTCGAGCTTGGCAACCTTGACGCCCTGGGAGGTGATGAGACCACGGGCCCGCTGAGCACTGAAAGACTGATCAGGAAGAGCTTCTGCCAGCAAGACCGAGAGCTTCCTCGATTGGATCTCCATTCGTACTTGCTGCGGTGACTTGTCAGGCGAGAGGTACAGTGGGACGACGCCTCCGCCGACGCTCTGCGCGCTGAAGGAGCGCCACCCGTTCCGCCAGCTGGGTCACGTAGATGCCGAGCGAGTGCCTGAGCCCGAGGGAGAGCGACTCCGTCGCCGCCCTGCGCCATGACGTTGAAGCGCTTGGCAGGGACCGCAGGGTCGATGCGGACCATGTCGTGAGTGAGGCCAGCCGCTCGAATCCACTCCTCCAATCCTTGAAGAGCTTGGGCGGGTCCAACCAACTGCGGCGCTCCGATCGAGAAGATCCGCGGGTTGGGTTGACGAGACCACGCCTCCAGCTCCTGGAAGTCCATGATGGGTAGCTCCTTCTCGGCGAGGGCCAGGGCCTTGTTGATGTCCCCGATCTGCTTGCGCATGGCGGCCTGCTCCGCCTCCAACGCGTCAGCGCGCTGGCCGATGGAGGCGATGTCGCGAGTCTGCACGGCGAGGGACCTGTTGACTGCCTCCTGCTGCGTCTGGAACATGCGCACCAGCTGCGTCTGGCAGGAGGTGACCTGGGCCATGGAGGTCGCGGCGATAGCATCGGTGGCCTGGCGAATGCAGCTCTGCAGCATGGCCTGCATGTCAATGCCGCCAGCGTCCACAGGGGTGGCCATCCCACCGACAGGAGTGCCAGCAGCAGGTAGTTCAGTGTGTCCAGCAGCGGGGGCGGCGCGATCATGCCACGGGTCCCCGCCAGGGCGTTGCCACGGGTCAGGAGGAGCATGTTGAGGTCCAGCTTGTTGGGGTCCAGCGGGCGCTTGTTCCACTTGCATGTCCTGGCGCTCCTGCGTGGGGAAGGTGGCCGCCGCCTCAATGGCGGCCACGAGCTCGTCCTGGGCGGCGCGATCGAGACCTCCGAGTCCAGGGCGCTCACGATCACTGGCCTGCGATCCCGAGGCATCCGCCTCGCCGTCAGAGCGCGGGTGGCCCCGCCGAGCCCGTCGGCGCGCAGGGGCACGCTCGTTCGTGCTGCGGGAGGCCGAGCGCAGGTCCTCAGTTGGTGTCTGCTCCTTGCCCTTGTCGCCGCGCCTCCGACCGTCAGCAGCACCAGGGCCACGATGGCCGCCGCCAGCACGACCAGTCCTGCGCCGCTCCTCATCGGCCGCCATGCACTGCTGGAGAGAGCCCTCGTGGGCGCAAAACTGTGGGTCCTCGCGGACCGGGTTGTGGCGGCAGCTCGCCCTGGTTGTGGCTGCAAAGAAGTCCCCACTCCTGGCCGCGGCACAGCGGTATCCATTTGGACGCCGCCGCGCACCAGGACATCTTGAGCCAAAATGGCTACGGAGGAGGAGGAGGAGGAGGAGGAGGAAGAATAGAGGGACGAGGAGGAATAACATAAGGAGGAGGAGGAGGAGGAGGAGGAGGAGGAGGAGGGAGGAGGAGGAGGGGGAGGAGGGGGAGGAGGAGGATGAGATGTAGGAGGAGGAGGAGGAGGAATAATAATAGAGGGACGAGGAGGAATAACATAAGGAGGAGGAGGAGGAGGAGGAGGAGGAGGAGAAAGAGGAGGAGGAAAGGAGGGGGGGAGGAGGAGGAGGAGGAGGAGGAGGGATAGAGGAGGACGAGGAGGAATAACATAAGGAGGAGGAGGAGGAGGAGGAGGAGGAGGAGGAAAAGGAGGAGGAAGAGGAGGAGGAGGAGGAGGAGGAGGAGGACGAGGGGGAGGAGGAGGATGAGGTGTAAGAGGAGGAGGAGGAATAATAGAGGGACGAGGAGGAAAAACATAAGGAGGAGGAGGAGGAGGAGGAGGAGGAGGAGGAGGAAGGATCACCTGGAAGGATTACCTGAGACGTAGAACTTACGGGGCCCCACCTACATCACACTGCTAGTGGCCTCGGTAATAGCGCGCTGCGCATCCCGCAGGAGTGGGAGGAGCCAGAGGATCACAACACCTCCGCTCTGGAGGTCCATATTCTATGTGGGAGGAGGAAATCAAACCTCCAGAAGTGAAGGGAAAAGGTTTCCAGAACGGCGAGCCGACCTTGCTCGATATTTGTTCCTCTGGGTGGGAGGGCGGACGTGGCACAGAAGCAACGCAGGAGGGCGCCGCCACGGGCTGCGGGGAAGACCGACCCAAATATCCGACGATGTGATTTTCGCAGTCCGCGGGCCCCAGGCGCAGTCACCGTGCTACCACGAGGGGCGCTGAATAAGGGACGAAAGGGCCTTCCTGCGGACCAAGGCGAGCCTCGGCCACGAATCCGCCGACCCTGTCAGCGTGTGTGAGGGGCGTTTCCGCTTGAACCGTCGCCATCGCCGCTCCCCCCCTGTCCCTGGTCCCTCCTCCTCAAACCTTCGAGCCAAAGGGAAATCGGGCAGCGTCGTCAACGAGTGAAGCCACCGAACTCGCCCCAAGGCGGTCCCAGATGCTGCCGAAAGCGCCCGGAAACTGTCCAAGACGGCCCCAAGACCGCCCAAGAGGCCCCCAAGACGACCGAATCGGGCCCCAAGAGGGCCCCAAGAGGCTCGGGGGAACACCAACCAACATGTCGAGCCTTCCGCCCCAAGAGGCCCCCAGGAGGCCCCAAGAGGCGCCCGAGAAGCACCCAAGAGGCTCCCAAGAGGCCCAAGAGAGCCCCAAGAGCACTCCTACGACAACCCCAAGAGGGTAAAATCAACTACTTCCCTTACCTACGTCGACGTTGCAACAATTTCGTCTTGAATTGTAACTGTATCATCTGGCGTCGGCAGGGCAAGATCCCGCCGCCCGGCGGGACTTCTGAAACCATGTGTTTCACGTCGGTGTTATTATTCTTATTATTTTTGATTAAAACAGTCCGTTGTAAAATATGCTATTGTATGCGTGGAGGGAAATCCTGGATTTAGAAATCGCGGATCTTTGATGAGACCGCTCTTGGCCCAACCCGCTAGGATTCTATGGGGGGAGAAGGGGGGGACATCTTGGCGCGGTCGGGATAGGGGTCAGCCTTCGCCCGCCCGCTCGCGCAGAAGAAGCGGACGAAACCTGCATCATCTTGACGCTCCCACAAGACGTGATGAACTTCTGTAGCGGCGTAATAATGAAATGTTTTCCATCATCACCTTCGTTCGCCGCCGTCGCTACCACCATCGTCGTCGTCGTCGTCGTCGTCGCCGTCCTCCTCCTTCAGGGTTGGCGGCACCGGCCGTAAGGCCTTCGCAAGATAGCCCCCCGACCTACGCTTCAGGAACGGCCCCAAACCCAGAGCCCCTCCTGAGTCCAGAATGCCCTCCTCCTCCTCCTCCTCCTCCTCCTCCTCCTTCTCCTCCTCCGTAGCCATGTTGGCTCGAGTCCGTAGCGGTTTCGCTCAGAACTTGACATTTTGGCGTGGGGGAGAGGCGGCCCCCGACAGCTCAGAGTCTCCCTCCCAGCCTGCCAAGGCTGGAGACTCTTCCCTTTTCACATACTCTCACTGTTACAGCTCTGAGGCGTTCAGCCTCGCATGACTAAACAGCATGCGCCTTGGGTTTATTCTCGCCCTGCTGCTGATGAGTGGAAGCTCGCAGCCGCTAAGCCAGACTTGCTCACATGTTGGTCATGCGGCTGTGGAATGAATAAGAAGTCGGCTAACAATTGCTTCCAATGCGGCGCGTCCCTCTACTCCAAGGAGCCATGGCCTGAGCAGCAGCTGGCCGTGGCAGAGGCCGAGGCGCCAGGCAAGCCAGGGCGCTGGCGCAACGGCCGCGGGCGCGGCGCCGGGGGCGATCCAGCAGGAGCCAGAAGCAATGGCAAGGGCAAAGGCGACGGCAAAGGGCAGCCAGGCGACCCTCGCCCACCTCTGCGCGCTGGGCCCCAGTTCGCCAGCGGTGCTGGCCCCTATGGCGTTCGATGTCCACAGGATGCAGCGAGAAGAGGTCTAGCAGCTCTTGGCTCTGGCCAGCAAGCAGGGCCTCACCATGGTCGCCAACGGTTGCATGCAAGCTCCGCCTGCTGGAGTTGGACCGCCTGGCTGCTGGTCTTGTGCTTCTGCCGCCTGAGAAGCAGCTGTCACTATTGGTGGACGAGAGAGGTGGTCACATCAAGCGGATGGAAAAAAAAATCTGGACTTGGTCGGCAAGTGGGAAAAGAGCATGGCACGGCAGAGGGGGGAGATTCAAGAGCTCAGCGTGGAGCTCGACGCTATCGACTCCAAGATCGCTGGCCTCAAGCTCAAGCTCTCTGAGGATGCCAATCAAGATGTCCCTCCAGCGGCAGGCACGCGGCTGGAAACTCTCTTGGACGGCACTTTCACCATCGATTGCGGAGATTTGTTCGAGGTCCTCCTTCTCGTCTTCCTCCTCCTCCCCCTCCTCCTCCTCTCTTCCTCCTCCTCCTCCTCTCCTCCTCCTCCTCCTCCTCCTCCTCCTCCTCCTCCTCCTCCTCCTCCTCCCTCCCGAGCGGACGAAGACGAGGTCGGGGTCACGACCCGTCCCAATCACGGCTTCCGCGTGTGACCAACGTCCAACACGTCACATATGACGGCTTTTGCGTGAGACCCCCTGTTCGTCGGAATTGGCTGTTCCTATACTCGGTCCCCTTGATGCAATGCTTGAGTACGCAATGCTATACCATGCCACGCATCGCGTACTCATTCGGGATCGTTGTCCTCTTCGGCGTCCGACTGTGCGAATAGAGAGGGGCTCTACGCAATGCTAAGGAGTGGGAGGGAGGCGTAGAACATCATATACAACGAGAGC